GAAATACTGACAAGGTTCAAAAATGGATTCTTTTATTATACGGTTTTAAAGATATTTTCGATGGGCAGTAAAGAAATAAAACTTTTTCTTCTTTGTTTTTGCTTACAGTCAATACCAAGGGAATGTTGCTTTGTACGTTTTCTAAATACACAAGTAAATAATAGTCGTGACACGTTTTCAAAGATTAATATCTTACGGCTTTATGTAATGCGAGTTGTTGAAAGTTTTGCTTTTATTTAGATAATCGAAGAGTACACTCCCTGTTTAGTCGCTGCATTTTATATGTGTATAAAAAATAGAGAAATGATCTTTTGAATTACCTACTCGACTTTGTACTCCACCTCGGCAGCACGAGCCATTGTCTATCTATATTATATAGTAAAATGCAACCCAATTTCAATCAAAACCGACTCGAGAAGAGTACAAATAGTACTTTTAAGTTGACAAATTCGTCAACATTTTAAAATAAGGCATTACTTTTGGTCAAATTATTTTGATCTAAGAAATTGAAAACCAATAATCTATATTTTTTCCTTTCTTAATTTGCATAGAACCGACTCAACGACTTAACTAAGAAGAGATGAAATTGGAACAAAATGAAAACGTTTCTGATAAAGCTACATATTAAAAAAAAACAAGTGATATAAAATCAAAAAAGCACCAGAACACATTTTTTTTAAATAGAACAGTTACATTTTTCTGTAATATTCTTAAAGAGCTTGAAATTATCTGTACAATGATATCAAATACGTTATAATTACCTTAGAAATTAAATCTACAGTGATGTGTTTCGAACCAATCGCAATAGCTGTGGAAATTTAAACAAAAACATCAAATGTACAACATCAGGAAGCGATGGAAACAAGTGAAAAGCAGTTACAGGAATAATGATTATAACTTAAGACAAATTTAAACACATTAATTGCACTTGCTAGTTGCTTCCTACGTTTTATCATTACATCATTACATTACACCTCTGAACATTTTTTCATCATTTGTGTAATATTGTTGCATTGTATAAGTTATAATGTCCACTATACTGATTTTGTGACACATGACAAGTGAAAAACTCAACGCTCTTTTGTTTTTGTTTAAATTTCCACGGTTACTGCGGTTGGTTTTAAAAACATTACTGCAGCTTTAATTTCTAAGGTCTAAGAACATTACCGAAAAAAGTATTTAAAAAAAAAGTAATTTGTTTTCTGATGCACTTTTGTTTTTGTATCACTTGATTTTTTGAATGCGTAGCTTTATCAGAATTTGAAAGTAGAGTATTATTTCTGCTTACACCATTTTCCTATCTCCAATAATAAAAGAAATATAAGCTTGGACACCCAAAATCAATCACCCTGTATATAACGCAAAAGCATATGTATCCAAATGAAAATTAAATCAGCTTGAAAGTACTTTGGTTGGATGCAGTTTTGCGTCAAATAAATGACAAAAATTAAATTGTTCTAGTCGGAGACCTTTTAGTTGCGAGCATAATTCATTAACAATAAAGATAATTGATTTTACATAATTTGCAGCTGATATTTCAAATATGCGATACGTTTGCCCTTACTAGAAGAATCTTTGGTTAAAGTTTCAAAAAGATATCTCCATAAATAAGCTCACATCTGATTTTTACAATATGCGATATGCTCTCTCTTTACTAGAAGCTTCCGGTTTAGCTGGAAATGACCTTAATTTTTTTGTTTCTAAATGCAACACCCTGTGTATTTTATTGTTAACGGACGCACAATATAAAACTGCCTCAGAAATGTTATATGAAAGGTTTTTGTTTTATTCGAAATGTGATAAAAAAATTTAAATAAAAATACTTGTAGCAAGTGGCATCACCTTTGAAAACCGAAAGTCGAAAAAAGAAGACATTACGATTATTAAAAGCATTAATATTTGTTATATAACAACAATTATTAAAACAATTGCTTCATAAATAACGGAGGGACTTTTCACTTTCCTGTACAGCATTGCTATTGATGTATAAAAGTATGTAAAAAATTGGGTCGTAGAGGGGATCAAAACAGGCACTTTTTCCAAATAAACCGAGGGTCCAACGTGTTTTGTTTGCGAGCCACCCCCAAAATAATGGTGAAATTTGCATTTCTTCTTTAATTTTTTTCCCGCATCCATAAGAGTTAGAAAGACTGGTGACACGTCTTTGAATAGGTTTTCGGGTATGCCCTTTTCGATTATACCTACCACGAGAGAGTGTACCCCTAAATGGGAGTGCGAAAAAAATTCTAATTTCGTCGAAATTTGGTATATGGGTTTTTTTGAACACCAAAGTCGCGAATCTGAAATTGGTTTTTGAAAACAAAAAAATTCCACTGTATTTCTTGGCCGGACAACGAAACTGAACTTTTGCAACTGAACACCACAATTTTTCAGCAAGGAAGTTCTCTAAAAAACTATCTACGTTAATGATTACTACGATATCTGAGACTTTTTTAAGCCACAGTCAGAAAAACTTTACGACGTTTTTGATTTGAATAAATACTGAGATTTGCATAACTTAGCTTCACATTTGAATTCAAATTCCCTACATAAAATGATTGAGTTATCCAAAACTTTCGTGTTTCCTTTACCTAATTTCCCTATCATTTTGTTATGGAAATCATAATTTTGTCACAGTTTGTTACGGAGAAGTTTTGTTTTAAATGCAGTAATAATAGAATTATACTTTTCGCATAGAGAAACCTAGGGCAAAATGTCTTTTTTTCTGGTAGGCTGAATACGAATTTAAAGTTGGCCAACAAACATTTTTCCGACAAATATGAGAAATCATCAAAAAAACCACTAAAATGGTACATTAGGTCATAAGGTTATAATAGTGCGTATTACAGGTGAGTAGAAAAATTGCGCACGATGCGGCAGAGTGCGGAAATTACAACGAAATTACCTCTACCATACTTTTTCTATTTTTTTTATTAAAAATAACAATAAACTAAATAATTAAGTAAAAAAAAAATTTTCTACGATCTCCGTGAATTTCGAAATGAAAATACCGCAAAACCCTAAACGGCGTCTGTTGACAGTTTTGACACTTGTAGATGATCACTTCCAAACGTACACGGTACAATGATCTACTCTAATTTTTTTTCATTACGCACGGGTGTAGGTAATGGTACTATATCGTGCCTTTAAATTATACGTTATGATCTCATTTTCAGGGAGGTCGTAGAAAAACAATGTGTTTGAACGGTTCGCATCTTATTTACGGAAAAAGTGTGTATTTGCGTGGAAATTTTAGGTAATGTACTCCTCTTTATTTTACAACAGAGGCACTTTTTGTGTAAATAACGTAAGTTGAAAGTTATAAATTGAAAACCACTAAAAAACAATTGTTAGTTTTAGTGGTTTTGATATTTCATTTGTGGGGAGTATTTTTGTTGGACAACGTGTGCAAAATCCCAAAAGAAACCACTACTAGAAATAATTGCACCAAAACTGTCCACTTCAAGTACTTTGTATGTAGGTACAATTTTACTATTCACTAATAAAGAACATGCAGAAAACACTTGTTAGAACAATTTGCTGATCCCTATACTTACTATAAAGTATTCAATGATCATATTTCTCAATAAAGCTAATTAAAATCAATTTCAGTCATTGTGTAAATACACCTTACATAACATACCCTGTAGTTAAATAACGAAGAAATGGTAATTTAATTACATCACATCAGAAAAAGTTCATTCATTAATTTAACGCTAAAAAAAGTGTGTTTGTGTAACGTAAGTACCCATTCAGTGAACCGCTTACGCATTGTTTAGACGAACTTCAAAATGTCTAAATCATTGTAAATAAAACATACACTTCGGCCGAAGGCGTTTAAAATGATCACCTGTTCAAAAAGGGACACCCAGCATAAATCACCGGCCAAAACGTGACTTGTCATTCATCAGAAGGTATTAACCGAACCGCATCCTTTCAAGATGTTCACTAATTTCCTGGTTTAGTCAGATTTAAACATGCACCGAGACGGCTTCTTTTTCTTTTTTTTACTATAAAGGAATGCAACTGCTGCATTTTGTCTAATTTAAAGATACTTAACACGGAAGAAGAAAACGGAAAATCTCATTCGCCTTGCCAAGTGTTTGTGACTTTTTGTGCGATGGCATCTGCTCGAAGAGTGTATGAACTCTTTGTTGCAGTAATTACTTTTTTTCGGATTTAAGTATGCCAAGACGTTTTGTTGCGTATTGGCGGTGTACTTTCATTTTGATAGCAGTTACGTCTTTGGGCATTTAGATTGGTATCACCAAGGAAAGAGCGAAAATACTTTGAATTTTCAAGACCCTACAAGGATTTATTCGTATAGTTTGTCAGGCTGAGTTTTGGTAGTATGGATCTGTTAAACAACTTGTCGTAGGAAGTGTAATTACGCTGAGTACTATAAAAAGTGGGTGTCAAAATTACGTGACCACTTCCTACTGTGCTATATAAAAACTGTTTTGCATAATTACTTCACTATTAATGAAAGTTCTAAAAATACCCAAAAGCGGTAAGGCCCTGACCTTGTTAACGTGAACTTCTATGCAACACCTCTACCGGGTGCTTTAAAATAAGAGGCCGGTGCAATGACTAGGTCGAAAAGAATGTTTTAATGAGTATATGCAATTGGCATAAGTGCAGAGAGAAAATTTCTTGGCATCATTGCATGCTGCTGGCAGTTTATCTACCGCATGGGAAAAAATCCGTACAGTAATAATTATTACCACATCCACCCACTTAATATATGCGCGCATATACGAGCGTTATATAAATTTCAATTGAAACTGACATTTATATTTCAGCAATGCAATGCACTTATTTATCCATCGCGCTGCACTATACGTCTGTAATGGAATTAATTAAAACACTTAATATTGGCCGATTTAAATTGGTTTAATTCTAGCAACAAGCCATTACGCCTTCATTTAAAATGTTTATACTGTTTAATTAGTAAATGTGATAAACATAGATTACTGTAACGAAATGGGCTTCCATTGCAGGACAGCGGAAAAGATGAGGAAGAGGAAGAGGAGGAGGAGGAGGAGGACGATGATTTTTTTCGCGACGAAAATGGTTGGCAGGCCGAAGAGGCGACCACGGTAGCGCCGCTGGGAAGGCTACAAAACGAACCTTCCAGTAGCAGTAAGTATACACCCTGAACCCCCGTCTGTCATTAATTGCCCAAAGAAATGAAGATACTCTAACCCCCTACTCCTCGTATCGTTAAGGTGTGTTAGCTAATTGAGCGGAATGAATAGATATGATTTATACCTTATTATTTATTAATTGCGTTCTTGGGTTACGAGCTTTCAACATTGATTAAGAACGAATACCTCGAGGCATAATTTTTTTCGATGCAATGCAATATTTCTTTGTAAATATCAAAGGTACACATTCATTTGCCTTGATTTTTCACTATGTACAGAAGCGAGATCGACAAATATTTCTTTAAAATGGTAGGTATATCAATAGCGTTTTGGGAATGTTACTAATTCGGTAACACTTTTCTACGATTTGCCCCAGATCCCTTTGAAACAAGGGGAGGGTGGTCGAAATAGTTTTGAATGTTGTTATGATCACTTGTTTGATGACCGTTTGCACTGCCAAATTTATGTTTCCAGTAATCCCCTGCTTAATCTTACAATTCCTAAATGTTGACGGAACAAACGGCCATGATCCATTTATTTATTTAAGGGACACTTTATGATGAAATAATTAACCGAAATGAAAATATGGGGAATGCAGTCAGTTCAAATCTGTCACGCTTTTGGAAACTTCTGTTCTTTTCTCAAGACACTAAAATGAAATGTGTACATTTTATTAAAATATTAAAAAAAACCGCAAATGGCGTAAATTTTTCTATATCACTCTATGTTTTCATTCATTCTGATACAGCGTTTGTCTCATCCACCGTCATCTTTTTTTTCGGTTGACCGATTATAATCTATTAGTCCCCTATATCTGTTTCTATTTTAATTTTTTTCCCCCATTCACTATCTAATTTTCCTAAATCAGTTAGAACTTCGTTGTGCCATCCGTGTTTGGTTTTTTTTATTGTAACAAAAGGTGAAAGTTTGTTTGGCGAGTCTACGATTACCAGGGGCGGACTGGAACGGGGGGGGGCGGGTGGCGATTGCCACCTGGCCTGTAGATCATAATGGCCCGTTGGAAATTTATAAGTATGTGCTGTATTTAGTTTCTTGCACTATTAATAAATCCTTTTTTACCAAAAATCGACTACACCAAAATTTCTCGGGAAAACACTTTTTCTTATTAATTTTAGTGCGTAGAATCCAAAACAATTCGTACTTTTTCGATCAGGCTTCTCAATCAAAAGTTATAGACTAGAAACCAATTTCGAAAAAAAATTCAAAGGGCTGTAACTTTTGAACTAGTAGCCCAATCTTGGAACTGTTTGAAATTATGGATTCTACAGGCCACATTCTATAAGAAAATTTTTTTTCCGGGTCGATCTGAGACAATTTTTTTTTCGGGGCTCAAAAAAGGCAGTGTATAACCTTCCTTTTTTACCAAAAATCGACTACACCAAAATTTCTCGGGAAAACACTTTTTCTTTTTAATTTGGGTGCGTAGAATCCAAATCAATTCGTACTTTTTCGATCAGACTTCTCAATCAAAAGTTATAGACTTAGAAACCAATTTCGAAAAAAAATTCAAAGGGCTGTAACTTTTGAACTAGTAGCCCAATCTTGGAACTGTTTGAAATTATGAATTCTGCAGGCCACATTCTATAAGAAAAATTTTTTTCCGGGTAGATCTGAGACAATTTTTTTTCGGGGCTCAAAAAAAGGCAGTGTATAACCTTCCTTTTTTACCAAAAATCGACTACACCAAAATTTAGAGTGGGCCATTAGCCCGTGGGTGGAAGATTGTAGGTTTATTAACGCACATACCTATTTAAAATTCATTGCCAAGATAATAGAACCCCCTGTATATTATTGCATATGCACTTATGTATTACACATGATATTTAAAATTAGTCTTTTAGCCACAATTCGTCATTTTTTTCAAAAAGATGTCCACTAACAATTGAATATCATAAAACATAGAAGGCCATGACCCTTGATGCAGTAAAAAAATTGGTAGTTCAATTTAAAAAATCAAGTTACCTTTGATTGAAACTTTGAAAAATCGATGGAGTGATTTCTGTTAACACAAAAAAAGGTTAACTTTGACGGTTAGGCGTATGTTAGTACATTTCATGATTAGTAATACTACAGAGTCGCGGCCTTCTTTTATAATAACTGCGACATTCAATTTTTACTGAACCTCTACTTTTTGAAAAAATGATGAATTTCGGATAAAAGACTCATTTTAGATATTGTGTATTTGTGCAATACATAAAGTCATACTAAAATTCACCAAGGAATCGAAATATGTAATAATATACAGGGGGTTCTATCTCAAAAATGCAACTTTGATATAAATCACCAAGTATAACAAACTTTGAAAATATTTTTAGGTTGTATCCTGAAGAGTCCTTCAACATGGCCCGACAATGAATTTTAAAAATGTGCGTTAATAAACCCACAATCTTTCACCCACCCTGTATACACTGTGTTCGCGATAGGAGGGTCACCTCAATATCTCTTTCATTTAAATTGTATTTAAATATGATTTTATATGTGACATCATGATCTACCCGATTGCATATTGAAACTTGAATTGGAGAGAATTTTTGTTTGCAAATACAATGTCTATGTTTTTTTAAGATGTTCGAAAAGAGCAATTTACTGTACGACAACATAAAATATACATATGATTAATATACAAAAAAATGCTAAAATTAGTGACTCAATATTTAGAAAACATACAATCTAGCATGCCGTGTGCTGTCATGCTGCGCGCTAAGTAAAGTAATTCAAGGGATCTAGTTATCTAAATAACGGGATACAATTCCAACTAATTAAACATCTGAAATGTTTGCGCCCTCAATACAATTGCGCTTTGTGCAAGGGCGCACATTAATGTGAAAAAAATTGATGAATTTGAATACAAAAAATTACGAAAAAAACAATTGTTCAATTTCAACGAGCAAGTTTGGATTCGATTTTTTTTTCATGTTATATTGGCGTCCAAAGGTTCCCAATTTTTTTTAACCGCATGGATGGGACTCGAGACAGGAGTTTTGTTAATATTTTTTAAAAGTTGAAAACGAAACACATAGGAACATCCTTTGCTGTGAAAAGAATTATAAAAAAAAGGAAAATTATTTTGTAACTTTTGGGATATATAATCATATAATTTTTGAAACTTTATCTGGGATCCAGGATTTAACAAAAATTAAACCAATTAAGATAAATGGCCAATTGGGTAATGTACCCAAACCGCCCATTTCTGCTATTTCTTTTTTTTGTAAAATCCGAGATCTATATGGAAACGCGCGGAAAATGGTTAAAAATACTACTTTTGCCCAATAATCAATTAGAACTTTCTAATAATTTGTAATATTTCAAACGTGGTAATTGTGACAAAACACAAATAAAAGTTGATAAAAAGCGAACGACCGCAGCGATTATGTGGTAAAAAAAACCTACATGAAAACAGTGCCATAGGGTACGTGAACATTTCAAAGAAACGCTCTACAATTTAAGAGATAAAGTAATAGTTATTTACTGTACAAAACGATAAAGAAATGTTTTAATCATGTCCACGAGATGGTTAGTTTGTCTTATCATCGAGTATACTACAAAACTTTATTTTATAGCAGAAACTATATTTAAAACTTCCGAGAATTCTGAATTTACGACGTCAAAAAAAGCAAACTTGGTCATTTCCATGGAAACAGTATTATTGGCTGTTCTGAACTTCATTTTTTTCCGTGCTTCGCGTCCCATTTTTAATGAGAATGATAAATGTAATTAGAATGTTACGTCCTTTTTTTCACTGTATCTACCCTTGCGATTAAAGAGATCATTCTAACCACTTTTACTGCTAAAGAGAACCAGCCTACTCATTCAAACCTCAAGTATTTTTTTAATTACAAAAAGGGGCAACATTTAACCTACTCTGTATCCCTCACCATGTATGTAGTCTATTGCTACAGTATTGACTATTTTGAAATCGGGTTTTCTCTATATGATAACTGATATATCCAGAAAGAAAATCAAGCAAAGAGGTATACAATGATTGAGGTCGTAGTCAAAATAAACCCAGAATATGCAAACATCAAATTTTAAAAAAACTAATAGAATTATACAGAGGCGGCGAAAACTAAAAGCTTATGACAGCCTAATTTATACGCAATTACATTTATATAAACATTAAGTTAATATAATCATGATTATTTACAAATTAATCCTTACTTATTAAAATTTGCCGCAATGTGAGGATAATTATAGTAGAAACTCCCCTAGGGGGAAATTGGACCTCAATATCTGTAAAATATGAATTTATTAGACAGGGGACCTTTCATATTAGTATATCTGTGATTTGTTATTAGTATAAACGCCGCGAGTTAGGCTTGTGCCATAAATTAATTTTTTTGTGGTCAAAAAATCAGAACATTGTACTTTTTTCGTACGGCGCGGCGTCGCCGTGGCGTAGATAAAAGGTACCCGCCAACTACATGCGGACTGTGCAGTACATTTTTGATTTTTTATTGTACTCACTTTGTCAAAATGTATGAGCAGGAGTGTATACAGGGTGTTCATTTTATTTTCCTATCTCCAGAACTAAAGAGCTACGGGGTCGGTTAAATTAGCAAACCCTATTTTAATGAGCACGCAATTTTTTTTCGAACCAGTGGTTCACAAACTCTAGGTATCAACTGCTATTGTGAAAAATAAAATATTATTTCATATGTATGAAGATACTCTCATAGATAATCGGTAATTGCAATTGTTAAGAGACACGTTAGCAAATGTTGCAAGAAATTCATGTTATCAACAAGATGGTGCATCTGCCCACAATATTTAATTGGTTTGGCACTAACGGCCCTATTTCATGGCCAGCCACGTCGGCGGATTTAAATCTATTATAATTTCTTATGGGGCTATTTAAAGGATAAAGTTTACAGTAATGTGTATCCAGATTTATAGCATCTAAAAAACGGCATTTTAAAGTGTACGGTAAAACTATAACACCCTGTAGAACTTTTAGTCAGAAAATAAGCCACAGAATTAGCCCCTTTCGCATTTACATCAAGAAACACCCTGTATACTTCTTCAGTTTTGGAATGATCATTAGTTGAGTTTGTTACAGAAGCCCTGGGTGGGTATGAGCTTTGAATTAGGTTCCAAATAGTTTTTTATATGCATATCTTTATCGTATATTTCTTTTTTTCTGTAGTGCAACTTTTTTGTTTTAGATCCGGAACTGAACGCCGCAATCGAGCACATGCAACGAATGAATATCGGCTCTCGATGTCGCGATCCACTTCCACGTGTTTTGTCGGTCCAAAACATTCACCCGTTTCCGGAGAAAAGGTATTCGCCACACTGTACCGTTTTACATCGCTGCTCTGCGGATACGGGATGCTGCAAAAATCATTCCATGACGTGCGCACCAAAGAATCATTCCATCGTTTATCTATATTTTTTCGTAAGTTACCTCTTAACCCCCGCCAAAAACCTTACTTGCGTAAATAGTATATTATAAATAGACGTCTTTTTATTGAGGAACTCTAATGTTCAAATGATGTGTAGCGGCACTTGGGTGTGTATTACTGAAATGTACCTTGGTCAAACATAAAAAATATTGTATATTGAATTATTGCTTGATTCTGATTCAACAACATATGAATTGCGTCATTAGAAATACAATAGTTATCATGACGCATAAACTACATCTCACAATTTCTTTTATTATACAGGGTGTTTTTTTGAGAGCTTTAGTTAAACGATTCTCTATTAAATACAACAGTAGGAGAATAATTTCATTTAAAAAACTTGAGTTTTTTGTCTTTAAATTTGGATCCCCATATAGGTGCGCTTAACTTTTTTAGTGCACTTTCACTTTCAAAAAATAAAAAGTGCACTTTTGCGTTCTTGATATCTATCTGTCTGTCTGTCTGAGTCACAAAGGCTCCGGAACTACACCACTTACAGATTTGATATTGCTGTATTTTCAAGGTACCGCCTACATCCACCATTTTCTTGAAAGTCAAAATAACTTTAAAGAAAATGGTGGATGCAGACGTCAAAAGTTAAAATAACTTAAAAACTATCAATTATAGACATCGATATGCGGATACCAAAAGAAGTGAAATTTAACGTAGGATCCAAAAATGTAATAAAAAATAGGGGTTGCCAGTTAAAATAACGAAGTTACTACCTACTTCCGGAAGTGCCGCCATATTCACTTTCCCAGAAACGTTTAACTTTAGCTCCCAATTTTTCTATATGAAAGTTGTTTAACATTCTATTTCCCATAATAAAGTAGTATTCCATTGTTTTTATTTCAGAAAACAAATGAATACCGAAAAACAATTGAATTTTTTAAATAGCAAGCACACTTTCATTAGGCTCATTTGATAGAAATTTTTTTCTCTTTTCAATGACGTAATACGTTAACACCCGTGTAGAAAACCATTTTACTGCTAATTTCGTTTTGTCTTCAACGTTTAATAAGAAACGTACACGTTCATTTGTTTTATTTTGATGTAGGATATCTGGATTAATGTTATTGATCTAATTATAATAAATGATTTTGAAAATTTTTTTTGAATAAGGGTACTAACATGTTATATCAACGAAAAGAAAAAGAATTTCTATCAAATGAGCCTAATGAAAAGGTGCACGGCGCTATTTAAAAAAGTTCAATTGTTTTTCGTTACTCATTTGTTTTCTGAAATAAAAACAACTGAATGCTGCCTTATTATGGGAAATAAAATGTTAAACAACTTTCATATAGAAAAATTTTGTATACAGTCGATATTACTATATTCCATACATAATGGGCACCCTGTATAATTAGACAACTATGGTGTAAATCACCCAAATACCTCAAGGCAGCGTTGGATCATTCAATAATGATAAACGCTTGAGCGGTATGACTACAAATGTAGAAATAAAACCTTACCCGTGATCTAATTGGCAAAGGAATGCGGTTAATTAATTCTTACTGTCTGAATAAAATCGAGAGCGCTATATCTTCAAGGAAACTGCAGTCTGTTGTCTTTAAAAATCGGCAAATTAATTTATCAAAGTGGACACATAAATCATTCGCAGACCATAACGTATTATTATGACGTTAATAGTGCACTGACGCATGTAATAAAGCATAACAATGTTTATGGTATTCTGATGTACTCTATTAGAACTGATCTTATCCTAATTGCCCAAAGTTTGGGGATTTTTAGATCGAGGAAGTGGGCCCTTATTTTAAAAAAGTATGGTAGTACTACTTTATTTTGTTTTTTTTTATTTGTACTTCTTTTCAGCTTACTCCCTACTGCTACCAGTGAAGTGATAGGAATAGTGAGGGACCACTTCGTTCCCTATAGTTTAGGTAAGGGTAGCAATTTCTTTACCAGAAAACTGAGAAAGGCAACCGTTTCAATCTCATAATATTCACAAATTTTCCAACGGTATCAATTTTTACAACAGGATTAAGAAATAAATTAAAATCAAGTTTTGTAAAAGTGCCTTTTTGTGTCACTTTAAAATCCCATTGAATTAACTAGGAGCATAAATCAAACGAAGGCAATTAGACAATTTCCCATCTTGGGTGAAGATGTAGGACCTTAATTAATGTTTCCCTGTCAAATTTACAGTAACGCACGTTCGACGAAATTAGTTTCCAGTAACTCGCGTAATTTATCTTTACCGGCATCATTTGACACCATTGGAATGTACACCATACAGTTTTTACTAATTATTTAAATATTTTATAATTAATTTTGTCTAAAACAAATAATTAAAAACGGCAATTAAAATTAACCTACTTATTTATGGACATTCTTCGCATTTTTGAATTGTTAACTTTACTTTTTTTGGTTTAATTTTGTTGGTTTTGCATTGCGGTAAACGAAAGGCATTTGCATTATAATGATCTTGTTTGCATATGTTACAATAATGGCCAATAAATCAACTTGTGTAAATTAATATGTGACAATTTAATATTAATGGTGTACACGCGTACCCGTGACCTTACAAAATCCGCCATGTTTGGGTTATTGCAAATTTGGAGAAGAGAATCGTTTATTTTGCGAGGAATTTAGAGATCATGTTAATTAGGGTTATTTGTTGGTAAAAGTTGATTTTTGGGAGGCTTCTGCACAAAATTTCACTATCGTAAGGTTTTCCTAAACGATTTTTGGACGTTGTCTGTGCTATGTTATTATAATCCAGGCCTACTTGTCCGCACCTTAACGTTATCCATCAGTTTTCTAAAAAATGAATATTATACAGGGTGGAAAGTTGTGGGTTTATTAACGCACATAGTTAAAATTCATTTTCAGGGCATGTTGAAGGACTCTTAAGGCTACAACCCAAAAATATTTTCAACGAAATTGCAATTGTTATTCAGCGTGATTTATATCAAAGTTGCATTTTTTTTAAATAAACCCCCCGTATATAATTGCATATAACTTTCTAACGATATAAACATGTCGGTATGTATCTTTTACATATTTTCTGTAATTGAACAATTTCTAATGTTTCGATTTTCAAAGCCTCTCAGTAATTAGTAGGCCATTAAAAATGATCAAGCATTTACCCCCACCAAACAAAACATAAACTCTTTCTTAGTTTCATGTAAAAAATCAAGTAACCCCTGATTGAAATTTTGAAAATCGACGGAGTGATTTCTTTGAATACCTACCAAAAAATATTTTACTTTGACCGTTCAGCGTATGTTGGTACATTTTATGATTAATAACACTGCAGAGTCACGGCCTTCTAAGTTTTATGAAAATTCCGATATTCAATTTTTACTGGACATCTACTTTTTGAAAAAATGACTTATAAATTGACCAAGGAATCGAAATATGCAATAATGCACAGGGGGTTCTATTAAAAAATTCAACTTTCATGTAAATCACCCTGTATAACAAAACAATTGCAACGTCGTTGAACTACTACATGAATCAATTGTTCACATTGTTCATCCATCATGGTAGCAGCCTGTCACAGCTAATCGGATCACAAAACTAAGAGACCAGTCCAACTTTTGGCAAATTTTCGGTTTCCATTGGAATGTAAAACCACGAGGGGTAGAAAAGTTTGTATTTAAATGTTTTTTGAGGAATGTAGGCCAGGATAGACTGTTATTTTTTTAATTTTATTTAAAATAGAAAGACCTTAGGGATAAGAAAATAAATGGTTAAAATGAAACATAATGTGACGTTTGACAGTAATAGCATATTTGTTTTTGCATGGCCAACTATATTTTAGCGCATTTTCCAAAACATTTTCGGCACTTTGTCCATCTGTCTGCCCATCTGTAGCACTACTAATCCGTTTTCGTTGTGGTTTATTTTTTATCCGGTGCACATGCCCAAGACCATAACATTTTTTGAATTAGTCACTTCCTTCCCAAGTTATTACTGATTCAATGCTGGGAAAATGGTCTTTCGTCGGTCGCGAGTGACCACGTGTTTAACTTATTATAATTACTATACAGGGTGTTCTTTGAAGACATGGTAATATTTAAGGGGGTGATTCTTGGACCCATTTTAAGAAAAAAAACTTCCTATGAACGTATGTCCTAAACGTTTTAATTTTTGAGATACAGGGTGGTAAAGTTTTAAAAAAAATCAGTTTTTTAATAATAACAGAGATAGGATCTTTATGAAATTTGGTACATGTCTTCTATGCATCAAGATGCATTTTCTGATGTGCAAAAGTTTTTATTTTCGCTACCAGTGGCTTTTGCAACGCCGAAATATTTTGTTTGTGAGCTAATTGCTAATATTGAAAGATGTGTTTCAAAAGGTTACTCATCTCCTGTTCCTTCCTGTTTAAAGCTGCATGGTCAATGGCCAGCCCCAAGTCCTTGGACGGGTATATTTGAGAGAGCATTTTGTCTTAAAATATTTGCACATCGCCTATAAATACGCGATGGCTATTTATTGCAGCGCTTGCGACAGACTGAAAGACGCCAAAGGCAAGTCTCGCGATCGTGGCACGTATACGAACCTAATAAATCTTGGGACGTCAGTAATTGGACTCTCTCAATATTATTTTAGATGCACGTCTGCCGTTTTTGGGGCGTGATCTAATAATACGCAAAAATGCAAAATTTGACTCAACCCCCTATAATAAGAAATAAACAAGGAAGTAGGTATACTCTACTCCGTACATACGCATCTAATAGAAAATAGAAAATGAGGGCACGCTGAAAATGTCGCACAAAAAGATTTAGGAAGCCTTAACGCGTTTCCTTGTTTTTATTTATAAATAGAGGCGACGATACAAAACAGCATGCGGAAATAATGTGCATAGCACGTAGTGCAGTTTTCGAGATATTCGCAAAGTTCATTGTAAACGATCAATTTCCCCGGCGCGGGAAGGACTATATGCTACCCAAACTCCTTGTGTGGTCACATCAATTTTCACAAGCACAGATTATTTATTAAGATAAGGCTGATAAAAAACTATGTAAATTACATCCATCACGTTTAGTAATAGTAATTCTTTCGCCAAGTAGTGAGTAAAGAAAACCATTTCTTGGGAAAGAGAAGAGAACAAGGTACCTAACTGAAAAAATTCATGAAAAGACAAAATGGTCCTGCGTTAGGGAAAAGTTCTGTTCCATGACTTTGTTGAAATGTACCTTGATGTAAGAGGCACAAAATCAGTGTAAACGAGCATTTTAATTTTTTTCAAATAATCGATATTTAGAATGGGTTTTCATCTGCGATGGCCAAGCCTACTATTATGCTTCATTTCGTTGAAAAGTAATTATTTCCTCGTTAGAGTACAATTATTAACTAGTTTTCTGAGATTTTCAGTTGCATGTCTATCACTGAGTTAAAGTCTGCATTGTAACCCTAACCATTATATTATTTATGAATTTTAGAAACTTCAAGCATACTTAACAGATGTGAGAATATGTTAAGTAATCTTGTTGGATGTGTAATTCCTTGAAGTAAACACTTATGATAAAGATTTTCATTTTTTTATCGATTTTACTAGTTAGCCTCCCTCAATCAGTCTAATTAAAAAACAGAAACGAACAATATTGTACAGGGTGTCCTATGAATAAAGACCACAGTCCATATCTATGGAAATGTTATAATTGCACAGCTTGGGCAAAAGAAGCTGGAAATTATTTTCAAGTTTCTAGGTTTGCCGCTAGAGGGCGTGCAATTCATGGTTGTAACGTTGCGTGCAATGTATTCTTCAACTTTATTGAATTGCATAAACATGTAATTAATTTATGGGTGGGTACTTTAGTGAAAAATATTGAAGAACCTAAAAACTACGGGGTTTAGACACTGAACATCCCTTAGAAACATTGAAGAGAACACAACATACTATCGAATAGCGAAATAAACTAGCTGTCGGAAAATTTGCCATTTCATTGTGAACACCCTGTATCACCAAATCTTAACTTTCTAAGCTAAGTGTAGCCCTTTACTCGGTTTAAAATTATTCCCCGAGGGTATTTCCTAATTGCAAAAAACAAGGTCGCTACGATTTATCAAAGTGGGGTGTGCTTATGGGGAATTATTCGGAACAAAATTAATAAGGTGGCAACACTGACCACGAATGACATGTAAAAATATACAGCGTGTTCTATTTTAAAAAAAGTGTATTCTTTGAAACCGTAAAAATAGAACACCCGGTATATTCAAAAATAATTTCTATAGATATGCAACCATCATTTGCACACACGGTTTTTTTAAACGAGGTATGAGCTAGGAAAGACCAACGCGTTGGGTACTAAAAATAAATTATGACCTGGGCATAATTGCAAAACAAATGATTCTTTTTGCATTATACTGCGAGAAGCGTATATTTTAACATATTCAAAATCCCCATTAATCCGGGCCCAGGGAATTCGTTAAAATCCAAGATGGCGGTTGAATTTCATATATTTCATTTAAAAATTTATAACTTTGGTACTCGTATTTCAATGAAATTTGTCAAAATAAAATAGCTGTCGGAAAATTTGCCATTTCATTGTGAACACCCTGTATCACCAAATCTAACTTTCTAAGCTAAGTGTAGCCCCTTACTCGGTTAAAATTATTCCCCAAGGGTATTTCCTAATTGCAAAAAACAAGGTCGCTACGATTTATCAAAGTGGGGTGTGCTTATTTGGAATTATTCGGAACAAAATTAATAAGGTGGCAACACTGACAACGAATGACATGTAAAAATATACAGCGTGTTCTATTTTAAAAAAAGTTTATTCTTTGAAACCGTAAAAATAGGACACCCTGTATATTCAAAAATAATTTCTATGGATATGCAACCATCATTTGCACACACGGTTTTTTTAAAATATTTTTTACGAGGTATGAGCTAGGAAAGACCAACGCGTTGGGTACTAAAAATAAATGACTCTTTTTGCATTATACTGCGAGAAGCGTATATTTTAACATATTCAAAATCCCCATTAATCCCGGCCCAGGGAATCCGTTAAAATCCAAGATGGCGGTTGAATTTCATATATTTCATGGTAAAATTATAACTTTGGTTCAATGAAATTTGTCAAAGTAAAATAACTTTTTTTTTCACAATAATAATAATAAGCCATTTATCGGACACACATGGCGACCAATTAAATATGTAGTTATTTAATTTTGAAATATTTAAATGGCCGCCATTTTGTAAACAAAATCTACACTCAACAACACTCACTGCCTCTTTTGTCAAACAATTGCAGATTTTATTAATAAAAATGGTCGCCTACATGAATATAAAAAAATTCACTCCTAAACACTCTCTATCCAAGATTTTTTCCATGACGAATATTTCATATCCCACAGGCTCCTAGGGTGAGCGATACTATGCGATCAAAAATGAGTTGCTGTCGAGTCACCTTTGGAATTTTTGTTTACATAGGAAATCGTATTTAACTTGAACTTCCAAAGGCGACTCGACAGTAACTCATCTTTGATCGCCCGTTAGTATCACGGCATGGAACAGATGAATGTAGGCAACCAACACTACACGCGACAAATTAAAGCTGTTTTTACAGTTCTTAAGCTGTTACCAGGGCCGTGGGATCCAGTAGGGCAACCGGGCAAGTCCTAGGATTTTTTAAAATAAAAATTATGCAAAAGTATTTTACAAAATTTTTATTTTGCAATTTTAAATGCACTTCATTCAGGATTGATCGTAAATAAGTAATATAATAATTATTTATAATAAAAAATATGCAAATACCACATTATTATTATTAAAAAAAGGCGATTCGGACAAACTTTGCACTAGTCGCAATTTTACCTTGCCACGCCCCTGGCTGTTACCACCCTTATTTCAACCTTATCCTCTTTGTTATAACGGGCGATCAAAAATGAGTTGCTGCAAGTCGCCTTTGGAAGTTTAAGTTAAGTACGATTTCCCATGTAAACAAAAATTCCAAAGGTCACTCGACAAAAAAAACGACTAATAGCTAACCCTAATTTGACATTAAATGATCAAGCTACTGTTTCCATAGCAGACGCTGATTATCATTTAAAACAAATTTGTGTAGAGTTGGTTACCTATAGCCATCTTCCATGCATTAAACCCGTTTTTTTTAGTATACATAGCCCATATGTATACATTTGAGAACAATTCGCTGCATATTCGGGAAATTGTAGATACCTATCCAATTTCATATATCATTTTGGAGAAAGACCCAAATCACAAATACAAAAACGCCCACTTAATGGGCTACTTGTACCTACTGTTTTCAAATTTACGATTTATTGTATTGAGGGATCGATAGTGCAGGCTCTAATGAAATTGAGGCCAAATAATTAAAACAGCTGAATTTTTTTGGGGATGAAATTCCGGGGGTTGAAAATATTAATTTTAGACGAAGCAAAAAAAATGAACAACTTTTGTATCTACACTTTCACCTCAAATTTTCCGAGAAAAACTGTTCACCTGCACTAAAAGCCCGGTTTGGATGGGGTATTAGTTTTTTTTGTCAAAAAATATTTGACCACACCTTGCAAGTTACTCACTCAAGTACAGGTAAACTTGGGGGTTTAGCTAGCATCAGTACTGCTCAATTTAAATCGACCTTTAAATGTATAAAGATACCATTGTGCATCACTAACGTAATTACCATTGTCAGAGACGCACCTATATCAAATTAAAATTTTGATGGCCGTTGGACGTCTGTTAGTAGGTACATCTCTTGGCGTAACCAACCATTCATAAATTGCGTTCAAGTTCAAGGTAGGTTATTTGCATTTAATCAATTGGCGAGTTCCTCATTCCCAGATGTCAATTTGACCTAATCGCTGGGGCATTTTGAAAAATTTCACCGACCGCGGACCGTGTATAGGTGCCGGTTTCATCGGAGGATGTAGCAGGTAATTGAGTATGAGAAATTTACGAACGGTATTGTATCTTGTACTTCCTTAATCGATTATTCCAGCATAACGCAAACTGTAAATAGATTTTTCATGTCACTTTGTTTCCTCAGTTCAAATAATTTCGACCGGTACAATTTATTTCGAAATTCTTTACATGCAAATGCGAATGTCTCTTCAAAAAAGATTGATAACCGAACTGCCGATTTGTATAAGGTTGAAGAACAACTGTTATTGTTGCCAGAATCTCCTGTTTTAAAAAATGCCCGATGACGGCAAAGCAAGTTCAGAATTACTGAATGGATTTCGATTGGTACAACAATTGGCTTAATTTAAGCAGCCCAAATTCCTCTCTCGATGCTCCTCTCTAATAAAAGACGCTCCAGGTAAGCCGTTTGTACAATAAAAATGGTTACGAGATAAGGGCCTAAGAAAATATTTGCCGGGTCTCATTAACAAAATTACTGCATTTATTCTTGGTACGTCCGGATTAGACAGCAATAAAAAAAATTTCATAAAATTTATGACATGCCATCTTAGTTTATTATTGTTTGTCTTCTTGAAAAAAAAATCGAGTAGAAGTGCATCCGTTCCGTTGTTATAATTCGTGTATTTCTCACGTGAGGTTAATCCCCCTCAGACTGTGAAAACAAACAGAAAAATTTATTACCAATTACTTCTACTTGTATACGCTTAGTGTTATGTCAATGAGTTCTTCTGGGTGGTATTAGTGATTTGTGTCTCTTTTACAGACAACAATGATTAATCAACCGCGGTCCACAGTCGAAAAATTACCCTTCGTCAACCACACCGAGTGTGCGTGCTTAGATAAAGCAGATGAACCTCCAGCTTTGGAGGCCACAAGGACTGAAGCGAGCAGGGATGGAATACGGTCGTACAGATCGAATATTTCAGTGCGAGCGGTAGATTCCTCACTGTACTCACCAGAAACCATACGAAGGTACCTTCACTATTTGCCTTTCGAACTGTTAATTTAAATTTAAATTACAGATGTAAGTGCCCTAAAGAGTACAACTCCATGTTGGATCGCGACAACAACTGCAGCTGCGACTGTGACGACGACAACGAAGATTGCGTTCGATTCAAAAAAGGGAAAGAGCATTTTTCGTTAAGCGATCGAAGGTGAGGTAGCATTTCGGGGTGAATTTCTGACTGTTCAGACTGTTTCAGGTGCATCATGGTTGGAGAGTGTGGACTTCCCAAATGTGAATATGGTCCTTACCTGAGAACGAAAGGGAGGTGTACAGACAAAAATGAGAAACTGGACGCATTCGCAAGTGTTTCCTCGAATTTTTAATAAAGTGATAAAGATCGGACTAATGAAAATGTTTGAAATTTTATTTTCATTACCTTTTCTGTGTATTTTTAAATTTACATGTCATACTGAATCGCATCTTAAAATGTAATATAAACGTGTATATTTACCATTTTCATATTAATTGTCGTCTAAATATTAAAAACAACGTATACGTTTTGAATCTCTTATGTGTAGAAACCTAGTCCCACTGATACTTCATTCTGACTTCATTTACAGACGCAATAAGTCACTGTAAATGGCATAGAAAAGCTACCAAAAATGGTATTACAACACGTGCATTTAGTCCACTTGGAAGCTCGTGCTTTTTGAACTCATGAAAACGAATTTTAGAAAAGCCACCTTTACTTAATGGGTATAAATTAGTCCTAGATATGTAGGTGCGAATTTTCTGAAATTTGTAATTTTAATTTAACCAATTGTTTAAATGAAAAATGAATGGTGGCGTTGATTTGTTTAGTAAAGTTATAGGGTTGGGAATTTTTAGGACTAATTGTAGCTCATTTTACCAACTTGGAAAGGTAGTGTGGCTATGAGAAATATAGCTTTACCTGCCTGCATAATACTTTGACATTCGAATGAAGGTTAGCAGGGCGAAAATTGAAATTTGGTTCACAGCCATAATCGACGATTGCGAATTGAGAAGAAAATAATTTCAAGATGGCGTCGTTTTCGTAAATATTGAAAGTTGGCTGAAAGTCTTGAAAGAGTTACCAGGGCTACTGCGATTTCAAAGTTAACAATAGAAAAATGTAAGAAACTTCAGTTTTCAAATTGCTAGTACTCTTTCTGATGGCAGTGTAGATTTAAATTTTAGAGCCACTTTCACTAACATTCTGTATGCCTATATCTGGTATTATAATTATTGGCATTTTATTATTCTCACCATAAATAATAAACAAATCAAAAACCACACAATGTGGATATTTCATTCATACTCATTCGAATTACATTTCAAATGAAACGATTGTTTCCGCAGCCTACCACACCTAATGAAAGAATAAGAAAATTTCTTTCAAAAAATGCCAATAACTCAAAAACTACCGGATATTAGGCATACAGAATGTTAATAAAAGTGGTCCTAAAATTCAAATCTACATTCATTTCTGCCATCAGAAATAGTAGTAACAATTTGAAAAACTGAAGTTTTTGACACTTTTTGATTGCTAATTTTGAGAAATCGCAGCAGTCCTGCTAACTTTTTCGACTTTTAGCTTTTGTTTCTATTGGCTATTTTTTAATTATTAATGATAGTGAACTACACTTAAGTCTTAGCTATAGGCCGAGAAGCGATAATGACAATCATTGTATAAACACATTCTACATCGGAAAGTAATAAACTTTTGTGGGAAACAAGATTTCTATTTAACACGCCAAATGAAATGGCATCTCCGTGATGCTCCAGATATTTGTGTTTGAAAATTAGGGCCAATTTGTAGCCAGAACTTCAAACCTCCTTAACCATTTTTTCGCTTGAAATTCAATTATCATTCGTATTGCAATCTCAAACAGGAATTATAGAATCCGGAACAAAGATCACAAAACCTTCCCCATACATTTCATTTATTATACAAAGGTTTATGGAGAAGGTTTTGTGATCTTTGTTCCGCGGATTATCATTTACCCCATTTCGAGCTTCCCTGAGAGAATGAATACTCAACAAGGAATTAGAATCATGAATTTGTGCTTGTGCAGGGTACAACTTGGTTCCGAATTGAAACACGAGTATTTTGAGTCTCGCGAAAGTTTCTTGTTAGTTGACGTTTGGAATGGAATTACTGCAAATACTAGGAACTCGCCCTTTAAGGTAGCGAAATTTGGAACAAGAACACTAAGAAACCACAATAAAATTTATAAAGCCGTACTTCACCGATGATGACAGCTTTGCCATACTGTTTAAAAGTTGTACCGGAGGGTTGAATGTCAAATTGGCCTCCGCGTTTCAATTGAAAGAAAACTGATTTTCAAGATCAGCACAAGTTGAAATTGAATCCGCACAGTTTAGCACAACACTAGTACTATTTAAAAATTTGCATTACACATTTTTTTAAATGGCGCCGGGGACTAACTTGAGGAAGCTCACTTAAAATCAAAATCACAAAATAAACTACCACATTTTGTGCTGGTAAGGCAAGCTGGATGTTAACAAAATATATATTTTTAAAAGAAAGGTTTGAAAAGTTGCGACCATTGCGAATTGAAAGAAAATCATTTCAAGATGGCGTCGCTTCTGTAAATACTGGAAGTTGGCTCCAATTTGTTTTTTTTAATATAAACGTAACATTTTTTTTGCAAATGCGCTATTTCATTCTGAATTCAACGCATTTAAGATTTGCGTACCTATCTGTTATAGTTTTTGAGATATGTCCATTTTTCTCAAATTTGGAGATGCAAGAGTCCATTCAAAAATTCGTATCTTTTAACTAATGGAATCGTTAAAGTATAATAATAAATAAGGAATTTTTTGAGCGACCGCTGAAAGTTTTGACACAGTTTCCAGGGCTGCTACGATTTTTAAAATTAGTAATCAAAAAATGTCAACTTCACGTTTTGGACGAAGCAGATAAAAATTGCCTTTTTTGCATGGCCACCTCGTTATTATGTAAATTACAAGATTCAAATATAAAAACTAGGGAAGCCATGATGTTTCGAAAGCTATCTCTAGATATAGGACATTATTATCAAAAGTTTGACGCTTTTGGAGGAGCTAAAAGATGAGATGAAGACAAAAATATACAGGGTGTTCCATTTAAAAAAGTAAAAATTTTTATTATGAAGTGTTATAACTTCGGACCTACAAAAAATCACCATGTAAGCTATTTTTTAACGTTTCATAGTAGATGTATTTATTTGACTTTTACTTTACCCATAATAAAAGATATATATCCTGGAATCAAAATTGAAGTAATAATTTTGACAATGAACGGACGCTTGCAACGGCCAAATTTTTCTTACCAATTGAATTATCTTTAAAATTACTAGTTTTTCGGATATTAACCATATAATAAAAAAAGCCGCTTGTGTGCTGCAAGAGGCGAAGGGTGCACTTTCAAATGTGTTTCTTCGATTTTAATAGTCCTTATGGACGATTCATGCCTTAACGAGAATACAACCAGGAAATAATTTTTAATTTCTGATCAAATGACACCAATACCAAATCTGTATGTGGTGTAGTTCCGGAGCCTTTGTAACTCAGACAGACAGACAGACATGTAGAGCGCAAAAGTGCACTTTTTATTTTTTGAAAGTGAAAGTACCAACACTAAAAAGTCGTACATTTACACGTAAAATCAAAAAATGCATTCAAATACAAGGGGTTCCATTACAAAAAATGTACCATTTTGGCGCCCTACTTTGTGAGCGCACCCTGTGTAATTCCAAATATTTTTAAAATGTGGAGAATATTCAATAATATCATAATACAAAAGCACTCTATCGCAAAATCTTATCTTCAAGGCATTAAGTTACTCCGCGCAATCGTTGACTCACCCTGTACATGTCGTAAGGGCATTTGGAATTGTAATTACCTACACTACAAATATTAAAGAGCATACAAACTCACGGGAAATCGCAGTATTTGAAATTTTCAACTGGCATTAAGGTTTACAAAAATGTTGGGTGTAGCCAGCACAATTAAGAACGCGAAAATTAAAAAGAAAAGCTTTGGAGGAAATCTACTTCACATATACAACTTTTATCGGACTACTGGAGATTCATTTGTTGATTTAGTACAGGATTCACAAAAAAAACGCATCAGCGCACGTTCCGCTTTTACTAATATAAATGTCCCTATGTAATTGCACGTTTATTTGGGATTGGGGTGCCGAAAGTGGCTAATTTTGAATAAAAAACTATCTCAGATTTATTTTGAGCAAAAATGACGAGAAAATTGGTTGCAACAAATTCGAAATACCGACGACTGCACGTGTGCGTTTCACACTGAACACCTGTTGTTTATCGGCAATTGTTATCGCGCATACGTTCAAATCTGTATCACGTTTTTGTATTACATTTACCAAGATTTGGAAACCTTTTCCATAAAAGTTTTTTGTATTTAAATTTCAAATTGGGAAAATCTGAATAGGCGCGCAAAGCAAGTCGTTTTTGCATTTCTGTTCTACAAATGGATTTCATATTACCATTTGGTCCCTTTACAAATTAGATTTTGATAAAACTATGACTAAATTTGTACGTTCCCATTTATTCCTATCGAGTCACCTTTGGAATTTTTGTTTATACGGGACTTCCACAGGCGACTCGAAAGCAACTCATTTTTGATCGCCCATTATAGGTATAGAGAAAACGTTTCAATCGCTATAACTGGGAAAACCATACTTCGGAAAACAAAAGCCATCCGAGCTTATTATGGGCGAATGGAAAATTCCCCATTGATTATAATAGACGTTGCCCAGATTATGATTATTCAATGTCGTTAGATTTGCAAGTCTAAAATTCGCCACTTTACCCTCATTAATCTTTTTTAGACCTGAAAACCCAGGGGCAATGACTAGTGGTACTGGGATAAAGTAAAAATTCTATTGCAAAACTTGCACTCTTTATTTCTTTGGTCAAAAATCAATGAAATCATATGATTTTTTAAGGATTGTGAGCCAACCTAAGACGACATTTGATCTGGTTGTACCCCCATGTTAGTGCGCAAACCATGACAGAATACCTGTGGCAAAGTATTTTATTAATCTCCGTATTACAACAGTAAGCAGCAAATTTTGAATGGCAAAAGAACTCCTACCGCAGTTCCAAAAAAATTATAATTTCACGCATAATCACCAACAACTTATGAGTCGAAAAAGCCTTTAAAATAACATTCATTATACGCATAGTTTGTTGCTTTTTCTGGCGCATTTATGCTCGAGAAATTTTCCAAAAACGAAAAAGAAAAGTTTGGCACAGTACCTTATTTTAATCCATGAACACGAAGTTCCGTGGACTTCCGCTGCAGTTCCTTGGTTAGCACTTTAATTATCACGGCGTTTTTAATTATATTTTTTATTAAAAAACACTATTAGGGACAATATTGAATTAAAAAAACATCGGCGCTCAGAAAACGTTACCGCGAATAGGACAATTTAAGTTTCATAATCGCGACGCGCATGCCAAATGACTAGGCACGATCGGTGAGCCGATTCACTTCCAGCCAATGGCAAGCAAGCTTGTTTCGAACTAACGACGAACACCTGCGGTTTATCGCAAATGTTATCGCGTATACGTCCAATTTGCTACATTTATGTATAAAATTTATCAAATTAATGGATTTTGAATTAAAATGCATTTTTGTAGCGTGTATACCTACTTTGGATGTCAAATTTAGGTACTGAACGAGTCATTTTGGAAAATTTGCATGTTTCCATTTATTCCAATCACCAATGGGATACCTATAGAGAGTTTTCAGTTTTCCTCTATGTTCTTCCTCGTAGCGATAGCTGGGTGAAAAAAATCGTTTGGAAAACTCGAGCGTATTCTGAGAAATTCCGCACAGTGGTTTTTCCAATTTGCAGTTACTCCTTTCCACTGCGTTTCCAGCTCTAACTGGAACCGCTTTGCTTCCCGTAATCTTTTTGAGACTTGGAAACGCAGTGGCGTGGCGTAAATTCTGAAATATATGTATACGTTTTGAATCTCTATGTGTAGAAACCTAGACCAAATGATACTTCGTCCTGACCTCATTTACAGACAGAATTAGTTAGAAAACGTACTAAAAAGGTAAGTCATAAGGACACGACAAGAAAACCAAACGAAGAGAAATCACCAGAAGAATTTGCACGACGATCCTGAGAAAGAATTCAACCCTCTACAAAATGCTACGAAAACTGAGCGATCGTTCTGCGGGGAAGATTTACTAAACTACCCCTGTATTTGTAACCATCCGTTACAAAATTTCACCCAAAAGTGGGACTGTAGCGTGAGGTTCGTTACAGTGGCCGTATTTAAATATGGGCGCGCCCTTGGCAGGACCTAAAGTTTTCGCCCTTTACACCTGGTGGTTTGGGGGTATTAAATACTCTCAAAAAAAAAGCGAGTCGGGGAGGCCTTCCCCGGAAATTTTACGAAATCCAGTTTTGATCCGAGAATTTCGCTTCTTAAAAAAAATAAAATGTTGTGGTGGAATTTTATATTTTCTTTATACAGGGTGTTAATTCAGTACTTGTGCAAACTTTAAAGAGCAAATCTTTGACTAATTCTAAGGTAAAAAGTTTATGTGAACATATGTCCGCAACGGCTTGGTTTCTGAGATACAGGGCGTCCAAAACAATGATTTTACTTGGTTTTTGCTTATATGTGTGTTAAGCAACATGGCAATTGGACGAAGTTCCAAATACTGGGAATATTGACGACGAGAAACTCAAATATTAACTTTTTTGATTAATGTTAAAGGGCGCCACATACATTAAACAAAAAACTAAGCTAATATTTGAGTTTCTCGTCATCAATATACCCAGTATCACGAATGTCGTCCAATTGCCATGTTACTTAACAAAAATATAAACAAAATTCAATGTTTTCAGTTTTTTTGGACGCCCTGTATCTCAGAAACCAACTTTTATCTTAAAATTAGTCAAAGCTTCACCCTTTAAAGTTTGTACACGTACTTAATTAACACCTTGTATGAAAATATTAACCTAGCATTTATAAGACATTATTTAGATAAAACAAATGTTTATATTTGACTGAAAGCAGTGGTATGTATACATCCCTATTTGCAAACGATTAAAATTTTCTCAACAATCAAATAGTAGTTAGAAAAGTACTGTGCGTATGTATAGATCGCCTACCAAAACGCAACATTCATGCTTTAATAAATCAAATAATATGCAAAAAAGTGTTTGATTAAAAAATTATATTACATGTATTTACATAAACTATTTGAAGTCTTGTGAAACATGGAGAAAACATTTCCAAATATATTGGGTGTTCCTAAATAAGATGTAAATACAAAAGGAGATAATTCTTTGGCTTATTTTATGACTAAAATAATTGTTCATAGAAACGTATGTCCGCAAACGCTTCGTTATCGATCTACAGGGTCTTCTAATTCTACCTTAAACTTTACAATTTAAACCTTCAATTTGTAAACATATAACACAAGATACAATTATCAAGGCCAACTGTACAAAACTAATCAAAACAAGATATTCAAATACCAGGGCCTACTGGACAATTTTCAAAAATTATACTTTTCATTTAGCGAACTATCGAAAATTGATTTTTATTTTTATTCTCGATAACGGTCACAGATGCAAAAAAATTACAATAGACCAAAAAGTTTCTAAATAAACCAGAAAATCAAATTTTTGTTTCACAATCTACCAGTCGCGCATCGAAAAAAAGTTGAGGGATGGAAAATGGAACATTACCCCTGAGAAAACAACACTGTAGATTCTCACTACCTACTTTGATATGACCAATGATGTAAGTCCTTCAGAGTAACTTATATTTCAAATTTGAGCGAAATATTTCAATAACTGCAGAAGATATAAACAAAAAATCGAAGAAAAAACTTTAAAAAATCTTGAAATGTTACTACCCCTTAGAATGGTAAGGAAGCGTTTGCGGGCCCATGTTTATATGACCTTTTAGTCATAAAATAAGCCAAAGAATTATCCCTTTCCGTATTTACATCGTGTTTAACAACACTTTGTATATTACATTCTTATAAGGAGGCCAGAGAGGGGCCGAGATGAAAGTAATATCACTTTGTAAGTAGCCAGCTACACTGTTCACAGTAATTGGCATGATTACGCACCACTTACGTACAGTAACTTTTAACGTTATCTAGAATATTTGAATAACGTGAAAAATATTTGCGGTACCTTAGCTTTGGCGGGCACCCAACTCGTTAGCGCTTAGATACGGCCCTGAATTTATTTTCAAAGTACAGCTAAAATTTACATTCCAAAAATCAAGCCCGTGAGATAATTTGGAAATTCATAGCTACAGCCTACAGTATTAACAGAATGTCGCCAAATTTCAAATGTGGCATTTGAAATTGCAATTACCTACTTAACGAATATCGAAGCAGCTTAAAGAGCATACAAAATCACGGGAAATCGCATCAGTATTTGGAATTTTCAACTGGAAATATGGTTTACAAGTTTTTTTTGAGTGCCCAAAAATGTTGAGTGTAGCCAGTACAATTACGCGAAAATTAAAAAGAAAGCTTTGGAGGAAATTTATTTCACATACAAGTTCTATTCATTTGCTGATTTACTACGGGATTCACAAAAACCCATCAGCACATTCCGTAAGCATAAATGCTCGCATAAATGTTTCTATGTATTTGCAAGTTTATTTGGATTGGGGTGTCGAAAGTGGCTAATTTTGAATAAAAAAATGTCTCAGATTCATTTTGAGCAAAAATGACGAGAAAATTGGTTGCAACAAATTGGAAATACCGACGACCGCACGTGTGCGTTTCACACTGAACACCTGTGGTTTATCGCCAATTGTTATCGGGCATACGTTCAAATCTGTATCACGTTTTTGTATTACCTTTACCAAGATTTGGAAACCTTTTCCATAAAGTACTTGTATTTAATTTTAAATTGGAAAAATCTGAATAGGTACGCGCAAAGTGAGTCGTTTTTGCAATTCTGTTCTACAAATTGATTTCATATTACCATTTGGTCCCATTACAAATTAGATTTTGATAAAACTATGGAAAATGGGAAATAATTTGCAACACTTTAAGTCGAAATAGGTGTGACTAAATTTGTACGTTCCCATTTATTCCTATCGAGTCACCTTTGGAATTTTTGTTTATACGGGACTTCCAAAGGCGACTCGACAGCAACTCATTTTTGATCGCCCGTTATAGGTATAGAGAAAACGTTTTAATCGCTATAACTGGGAAAACCATACTTTGGAAAACAAAAGCCATCCGAGCTTATTATGGGCGAATGGAAAATTTCCCATTGATTATTATAATAGACGTTGCCCAGATTATGATTATTCAATGTCGTTAGATTTGCAAGTCTAAAATTCGCCACTTTACCCTCATTAATCTTTTTTAGACCTGAAAACCCAGGGGCAATGACTAGTGGTACTGGGATAAAGTAAAAATTCTATTGCAAAACTTGCACTCTTTATTTCTTTGGTCAAAAATCAATGAAATCATATGATTTTTTAAGGATTGTGAGCCAACCTAAGACGACATTTGATCTGGTTGTACCCCCATGTTAGTGCGCAAACCATGACAGAATACCTGTGGCAAAGTATTTTATTAATCTCCGTATTACAACAGTAAGCAGCAAATTTTGAATGGCAAAAGAACTCCTACCGCAGTTCCAAAAAAATTATAATTTCACGCATAATCACCAACAACTTATGAGTCGAAAAAGCCTTTAAAATAACATTCATTATACGCATAGTTTGTTGCTTTTTCTGGCGCATTTATGCTCGAGAAATTTTCCAAAAACGAAAAAGAAAAGTTTGGCACAGTACCTTATTTTAATCCATGAACACGAAGTTCCGTGGACTTCCGCTGCAGTTCCTTGGTTAGCACTTTAATTATCACGGCGTTTTTAATTATTTTTTTATTAAAAAACAATATTATGGACATTATTCAATTAAAAAACCTCGGCGCTCATAAAACGTTACCGCGAATAGTACGATTTAAGTTTCATAAACGCGACGCGCATGCCAAATGACTAGGCACGAACGGTGAGCCGATTCGCTTCCAGCCAATGGCAAGCAAGCTTGTTTCGAACTAACGACGAACACCTGCTGCTTATCGCAAATGTTATCGCGTATACGTCCAATTTGCTACATTTATGTATAAAATTTATCAAATTAAAATGAATTTTTGTAGATTGTATACCTACTTTGGATGTCAAGTTTAGGTACTGAACGAGTCATTTTGGAAAATTTGCATGTTTCCATTTATTCCTATGGGATATAGAGTTTTTGAGTTTTGCAAAGTTCCGCACAGTAGATTTTTCCAGTTTACAGTTACTCCTTGCTACTGGGTTTCCAGCTGTTAATCTTTTTGAGACTTGGAAACGTAGTGGC